CTCACACACACACACACATATATATATATATATATATATATATATATATATAATGGTTTCCTCAGTCTGAGTCATTCTAAACTGTCTGCCATTGGATATTAATGGAAAATACCCTAATGCTGAGCAATTTTTAGAAAAACATTGAGTAAAATATCAAACTCAATGTTAAGCAAACACAGAGAAATGAAGGGGTGAGACTATAAAACATCCAGTGTGTAAAAGATTCACACACATTGTTATGCAGAGAGAGAAAGTGAAATGAATGGAAGTAACTAACTGTAAGCTTTACCAAATAATTTAATTAACTTACCAAATAATAGTTGGACAATTTCTAAATAAATTTCCAAAAGTATGTATTTTTTTTTATGAACGTAAAATCTAAAATTCTTACACAGAGGGTGGAACCATAGACAACTTTGCATCTACAGATTGGTGTCATAACATTGTTTTGGCCTGATGTTATTTTTACATTTTTTATTTTTATTTTTTTCATCAGATGGCAGCAGTCTGGTCCAAATTAATGATACATTCTCTTTTTCTTTTTCTTTTTCTTTTTCTTTTTCTTTTTCTTTTTCTTTTTCTTTCTTTCTTTCTTTCTTTCTTTCTTTCTTTCTTTCTTTTTTCTTTTTCTTTCTTTCTTTTTCTTTCTTTCTTTCTTTTTTCTTTCTTCTTTCTTTCTTTCTTTCTTTCTTGACTGCACAGCCAGTGTATGACCCTTTTTTATAAAGCTTAGGAGGGCTGAAGCAGCTGCACTTATTAATTATTTTTTCCTTTATTCGACAATGCCTGTTTATTTATGACACAGACATGTTCTGTTCAATGCCTGGTCACCAAATAAATGGTGGGCGTCCATTACACTCCTTTAGTTGGTTCATTGTAACTCTGGGAAACATTTGACACCATTCAGTGACACTGACATTAATAGACCCGGTCCGGTGTGTGTGCACTGCACTCAAGCAAGATGGATGACACGATTTTTGTTCGTTCATTTTGTGACCATAGAGAGGTAAATACATTTAAAGGGTTCACCAGGGTAAAGTACAGCTAATCAGAAACAAATCCAATTTTAGCAGTAATTGGACACAGTTTAATTAAGTCTTGGCACTCTCTAGGAGTCAGAGATGCTCAGACGCAAAACAATAATTTTTTTTATGGTGAAGCATATGAAATCAACCATTCATATCCAATGCAATAAATGAAATTAATTTTTAATTACAATTTTGATTATTACATCTCTAACGAAAATCAACCTGTGCCTCTCTGCAATTAATGTAATTATCTAATGTGAAAAGAGCTACATCTTTTTAATCCATTTAAATGTCTCATTTAAATGCACAGTAGATTAGCGAAATAATGTCTGAATAAAGTTAATTCACTCATTCAATATAGCACTCAGAAAGTTGGTTATTGGGCAAAAGGATTTAAGGATTGAGGTTTCTGTAAGACGACAACTGCAATCCTCTTGCTCCTCTGAGACTGGGAATGCTTTATGTCTGTGTCCGCTTTTGTCTCTGCAGTGCGCCCGCCATGACAATGTGTTCGCAGCAGAGATTTTGATAGAAAAAGGACTGAATGTCAACCTGCAGGATGAGGACCTCTGGACCGCTCTGCATGTGGCCTGTGCCTGCGATCACGCAGATATGGTGTTGCTGCTGCTGCTGGTGAGAAATACACCATACACACAGACATCAAATCAAAAATTGAGTTTTGTATCTTTTAGTCCATAGCTTTGAGATCATCAGTATGCTAGTGTACTTCTGAAGTCTCTTCTGAAAAACTGTGGCAAAAATATGAATAATTTTCTATGGATGAAAAGTAACTCATATAGATTTACAATAGCATGAAGGTGAGTAAATCATGACAGAACTGTACCTTTAAAGCCACATGTGTATCAAGTTCCCGTAGGGGATTGGTGAAGACACACACACCTCATACTTCAATTACTGAAAATCTCTGATTTTTCCCTTGACACAGTCACTTCCGGCTTCGTAACTGTAACGTTTGGGACATGCATTTTTTGTAAAGCTCTTTTGAAACAATGTGTATTATGGAAACTGCTATAGAAATAAAGGTGAATTGAATTGAACATGCACGTCTCTCCTGCAGGAGGGAATCTGAATAAAACAGCTTAGAGTAAAGTTCTGTCATATGTCGGCATGCTAGATCAGTTGAGCATAATCCTCCACAGTGCTGACAGATCGAGGCAGGATCAGGGTCTGCGTCTTTAGACAGGTGGTGTTCAGTCAGCGCGCAGTCATGTCAGATTGCTGCCTTTACTACAAACAAACACCGCAAATCCTCCGAACTAAAACACAGGTGATTTAACTTCCCCTGATACAATGTCTTGAGTATTCCTACAACAGAAGGCATTTTTTAACGGGCAAATATGCATTATTTCTTAATTGTCTCTATTTTAAGTCAACTTAAAATACAATTTGCAACTCTTTTTACTTCCAAAATGTGACCTGTTAATACAGGAATGATGACAATTTAATGTTAGAAATAAATATTTTACATTTTTAATATATTGAAATATTTAGAGCCCAAAATCTCGTACACCAGAACTAGAGTTTCACAATAGAAAAAAAAAATTATATCGATTTTGTTTTTCTGTTATTTATATATTAATAGATTATTATTATGTAGAATCTAGAATGATTGGGTGATTTTTTTTATTTTTTTTTATTTATTTTTTTTGTAGGGGAATGCAGCTGCATAGAAAATAATAATAATAATAATAAAGACTTACTCTGAAAAATTATTTTGAGTGCAAACCATCCTTTTAGGGCTGAACAATTTCGGAAAAAAACTTGTTCACTTGTCTTCACAAGAACCAACTCAGACATCTTTCAGTAATCAAGAAATAAAGAGATATTTTATTATTATTATTATTATTATTATTATTACATAAAAATATTAAACGTGTATTTATACAGCTGTAAAATTACAATGCTAATATTTGCATCCTAATTTCTTAATTGCGTCAATTTTTCTGTAATCCATTGAGCTTTTATTTTGGCAGAAAACTGCAGTTAGCCTTTACAGCTTATCTTTTGCTGGCAACAGATTCACATTGCATTCCCAAATTCACTTTATAAGCGACATGCAGAGATTGAGCTTATGTCGAGCAACATTTACCATGAACCAAGCTTCTCTGCAATTCTGAAACTCTGCCATATCGTGCTTTAGATTTAATTTTGATATATTGCGCAGCCTTAACCAGAACACTCATAATGACTCCCCCTTGGATTCACAGACAGTTAAGACACAAGTGTTGTTCTTCACACTGTTGTGCCTGGCAAAAGCTCACTCCGTGTCAGTGAAAGCTCAAAGTAAGGGATATATCTAGGTTATTTTTAGCACTGTGACTTCAAAGAGTGTCTTTCCTAAGGAGAATTTCTACTCCAAATGTTAGAGTGGAGAGAAGAAGCTCAGGATTATTTCTGCTCATTGGCTCCAGTGCAGCACAGCATGCAGATGTATCCTGTTTGCTACGGGCACTGATAGGCCATCAAATATTGGGTCATATTAATCAAATATGCTTTTTATTTGGTTACTCTCACCGATCAAACATGGAAAAGTGAGACTGAAAGACTGCTCGTGACATTTCTCTCAAACTTTCTTTCACAAATGTGGTGCCCAACGTGGGGTGCCCTCTGTGAACCGTAAGACTATTAATGACGTCTGCAATTTGTGGCTTTTGGATTTACGAGGAAAAAGTTTGAATGAGATTGACTGTCAGCGATCGTATTAAACTTGTTTGATGTTTTTGGAGCGTTGGAAATACCGTTAAATCAGCAGGCTGTCGAGTCGTGCATCGGATCCCCAACGACAAAATAATTGAAGCATACAACTGAAAATCGACTTTAAACACGGCTATGATGCACTGCAGGAAAACAGAGCAACTTAATAGAATCTAAAACTGACTTAGAGAAATAGTGGGGGGAAAGGAGGTTTATACCATTAATTTGTCATTGAACAGCATATCCTCCACAATTTAGGAGCCTTGGGGTGTAAACAGACTATGAATCAGTGCGTTTATCTCTGAAGAGAATATAAAAGGAACACACCAGGGGAAGATATTCACCTCCTTCAATCCAAATCCATTTTCAATGATTCCTACACAAGCTGTTCCTCATCCAGTGAGCTTCTTCATCCTTCATATTGATGACTGAATCATTTCATTATTATCAAAAGAAAATGAAAGCTCTGCCAGCTCACGTATCACACATTCTGCCAGCTCACGTATCACACATGCTGCCATGTTTCCTGCTTTTAGACCTCAGGTGAAAGTACAGATCACGATCTTCGTATCTCCATGGAAAATACACTCTGATATCTCGAAGAAAACCATTGTCTGGTTATTGTTATTCTGAACGTGCACCGCGGAGACACCAGCTTTACCTGCTCCACTTTTTTAGTACATGTCTGACTCCAGACCACTTTCGACCTGATTTTCAGTGGAGCATGAAGCAGCAAACCATGTGCGCCTGCCAGCTTACTTCAATCACAGAGCCCCTTTAGGAATACTGGCCAAAAATACACTTTACTACAACTACTACTACTACAGACACACACAGCGCCTGCATTCAGTTTTCTGTTAGCTACATCCATAATAACATCCAGACTGGATGCAGAGATCTGATTCCGTCTGTATCACAGCTGAAATATTATCTGTAATGCCATTGTTTAACCTTCACTTCATCTGCAGTTCAATATGGTGAGGCTAATGCACCCATTTGAACATCTTTATTCAGCTGATGTATAGGCTCAAACCCCATCTGTCCCCATTCGTTCACATCACCAGCCATAATAATGTAACAAAATAACAAAGATGACTGAACAGCTTCAGTGTGAAGTGGCAGCAGTTTAACGGACAATTCTGTCATCATTTACTCATCCTCAAGACTGTCTAGCTTGTTTTCTTCCATGCAACACAAATTAAGATGTTTGGAGAAATATCTGTGTATTTTGTCCATACAATGAAAGCAAATGGGGTCCAATGTTGTTCGGACTCCACTGACTTACAGAGTATCTTCCTTTGTGTTCCACAGAAGAAAGTAAGTCATACAGGTTTGGAACAACATGAGGGTAAATAAACAATGACAGAATTTTTATTAAATACTTTAATTAAAAATGCATTCACACCAGTAGGTGTCGGTATGATGTCCAAGATCACTGGGAAGAAAAGCCAGTGAGGAATAAACCAAATATAATATGTGGACTTTTAAGGGCCCTATCATACACCCGACGCAATGCGGCGCCAGGTGCGACATAAGTGTTTTTTGCTAGTTTCAGCCTGACGCAGTTGTCATTTTCACGTCCGGCGCCACGTTGTTTAAATGGCTAATGAATTTGTGCCCATGGGCGTGCTGGTCTGAAAACGAGGTGTGTTCAGGCGCATTGCTGGTGCATTGCTATTTTGAGGCAACTGAAATAGACTGCACCATTGACCAACAAAAACCTTGTCTAAAATCTGGCACAATATATTTTTTTTGTTATTTAAAGAGTGCGTTAGTAATATGTGCCTATAGGCAGGTGCACAAAACGTGTACACTTTGCAGCACACAAACATTTTTAAAAATGAAAAATCAAAGTATTAAAATGTAAAAGATTATTATTGTGTACATAAATTTAAAAATGCCTACGTCATAATGGATAGTCATTGCATGTATCAGAATTACGCGCACGAGCAGATCCGTTCCCTCACTAGAGAAGCGTTCAGTTTTTCCGCTTGCAAATTCCACCATGTAAAAGCGAATGCGCCATGGCGCGAGTGCAGCTGGCTTTTCAAAGGGAATGAGAGATTCTGATTGGTTTATGGCATGTTACGCCCAAAACACACCCATTACTCTTTAAGAGAATAGGGACAACCCTTTTAGACCATGCGCCGGGCGTGCCGACCATTTTTCCCGTTCTTAAACTAGCAAAAGTGGATTCGGACACGCCCTAAGCTCAATTGCGCCGTGCACTTTAGACCATGAGCTTAGATCGTTAAAATAGGGCCCTTAAAGTTCAAACTTTCAAAGAGATTTTCAAAGTACAACTGCCTGGAGATTTTGTGTGGGTCTCGCATAAAAAAAATAAATAAAAAAAAAGTAGTGGAATGTAAAAAAAAATATATATATATATAACAGTCAGGTGCAACAGTCAAACACATCTCTCTAACATAGGTTTACATAGAAAACAATGGAAAAGCAGCATAGTGGAATGAAAAACCCATTCTTTGTGAACGGCCCCTTACAATGTTAATTTTTAGGCATTTGTGTTTGTATACAGTTGGCAGAAGAAGAATGTGTGTGATAATCCTCTGAATTGAGGTTAATATTTATGAATTTAATCCAGCTACATCATCACCTGCTTTGCGTCTGTTTCTGTGTGTTTGTGGGAGAAAGTGTTTGAGCATCTACATGTGAACTGTGCCGTTGCGCTTTGAAGTATTCTGTTTGATCATACTCGCAACAGCTTTAACGTATTTATACGTGTGTGTGTGTGTGTGTGTGTGTGTGTGAACCATTGCTCGGCACTGTATTAATGAATATTTCTAAAAGTAGGCTTCATTTACATAAAAGTATGCAAGTCAGTGTGCGCAGAGCTCTCGTATGACAGAGATAGTGTAAAGACTTGATTAACTGCATGGATACGTAATCCTCTCTCACTT